TATTCTTTTCGTTAATGCCGTTAGCATTTGAAGCTTGACTGATTCCAATGTCCCTTTTCCATTGTTGTTTAATGTAATATCCTAAACGTCACTTCAAATTTTTTTCTCACTTCAATCATTACATGTTTGAATACCCGAGCTGACTTCTACTGATTTGTTATTAATTTACAATTTTTTTTTTTTATAAATTAACTGCCGTACTTGCTAAGTGTCCACTAAGTGGAAATCTACAAAAAAAAGCAGTGGTTTAATAATGGACTACATTTTTAACCGAATCCAAGAATATTCCGTAACTTAGTCAACCCGTCCTCCAAGGAGTATTTGTTAAATTGTTCAAACATCTTAATTAACTGGTAATCTTGATAGTGAACATGTCTCTCTCGTATTCAGTCATGTTTTTAACCTAGTTAGGAGACCGGTACTCTACCATTATAGGTTGGAGAAATTCATCTTTTTTGTATACCAGTACCGTACAACTTATCATCCTGCCTATTGGCAGGATGGCAAACATTTTTGTTCGTAGGCCTATTTCAGTATTTACTAAATAATTGGGTGGTTCACGTAACCGCTGGTCGGTTACGGCTTCCTCTACCATCAAGTCCATGCTTCCGAAAACAAACAAGAGAGCAATGCTCAAATATATGGACACGCAGAACAATTCCCCAAAAATCATATGCGGTGACCAACGACTAACATACCGGCGGTGACTTACCAGTACCTGTATCGGGGTACCGTGACGGTACAGGGACTGTCATAGATATTTTAGGTCCTGTGACAATTGAAACATCAGTTGAAATATCTCGTGATATGAGTCAATTATGTACCGTATTATCGGATCAGGTACCGAACCACAGTCAAACATTTCAGATAAAAACGTTACTAAATAACATGCGTCAACTTAACACCAGCCGAATCGGGGTACAATTTTTGGTACAGTGACTGTCATAGCCGTTTAGGGCTGATGGACAATTCGACTACACGGACAACTCACCAGGCCTAGGGTGGTGTAGCCAGTCTGCGGACAATTTCATTCAAACCGCTATAAAACAAAAACCAATATATCTAACCCGTTTTTTTTTTCACCGTGGGTGCATTGGCGGCATTTATTCTACACGCTAAACCTCGTATTAACTTTCTACGACAAAGGGTTGAAACTATACAAATCCCCAAAGTACGGCACTCGAAAGACGTATTTGCGACCGAACGACCAGTGTGCGACCACGGATTTCAAGCCTTGATCATCGTTTATGCTGCGTCGAGACTATCGCATACGCAGCCATACAGCAATCAAACAGACAAAACACGGTGGTCGCAATTTGGTTGACAATTGTTGGTCTTGTGACAGCGTGAAAACATTGGGCTTCTAATTGCATTTCTGACCGTCATGTATTTCAAGAACACGGTTATTTCGCACAAAACTCGTTAAATTATAAACAAAGCACCACATCACAGCAATCAAACAGACGAAAACACGGTGGCCGTAAATTGGTTGACAAAGATATTATCGACGTTTCGGAAATGCACACCCCCTATTCCCCCTCCTTCAAATGTAGAAACGCGAAACTTTCAAATATGGTTAAAAGAAACACAACTTTACCCACCTGCCAAGTTTCATCTTGTTATTTCTCATATTTGTATGGATTTTCAAGCTTTTGACAGCTACGAGTTAGTTCAGTGTCACCGCGCTGTGTTACGGTACCAGAACTCCTGTCTTGTGACAGCGTGAATTGAAATTGCAAGATGGTCCGTTGGACACAAAATGGCGTCCGATATCCGCAGAACGTTTAGTGACGTCATAGCAAACAAAAACAAATCTTACAGAGCTAACAGAAATATTTGAAATAAATAAAAGTAATAGCCTTCTGGAGAAAAATTTCATCTTCAACCACTGAAAATTTCAAAGCAATTAGTCCAGTAATCAAAGAGAAAAGCGACTTTTTAAAAACGTGTCAAAGAACAAGAACAAGAACAACAACATAATATTGAAACGATCGTTATGTCCACTACGTGTCCAATAACTGGCTAACTAATCCCATACCCGACCTGGACTGGTAACCGGACGAGAGGCCGTGGTTCGCCATATGATTAAGCTGTCTTATCGGATTTCTTCTCCCCCGGGATAAATATGTAAATCCTATCCTATCCTTTTAAAATTTAGTTTTCACCTCTTGCAGCCTCCGGTAGTTTAAATTAAATAACACGTCAGCATGCATTCAGTAAATGATTGCTAGCGGTACAGGTATAAATGCGTAAAACCAGTAAACAAACGTGATAGAAATGGTATGGGCTATAGATTGTCAATGTTAAACGCTTCCAGTACCGGTACCGTACCCAAAGCGATATTAGCGCCGCATTTGCAGCGCATATCCAACAGAGCAAGGCGCGTTGGCAGAATCTCATGGTCTAATGAGAATGACGTCATCGGAAACACCGCGCTCAATAAAATTTTAATGAACGTTTATCAAAAATCTTGACCATGTTTATCATGATAAAAATATCAAAAAAGATGTAAAAGATATTCTATCCTCAAAAATACGCACGTCTACATTGAAAGACATCTAGAAATTTACAAAAAATGCAAATTTCTGCTCTGGTGATCACATTCCCCATAAGAGCTAATGGTCTAATAAGAGCTAAAGGTCTATTGCATGTTAAACTACGATCGTTCTGCAGGTTACCAATAACACTACACGAGGCATTTTTATAAATCTGTTGAGTTATATATTGAGAAAATTGAAAACATAATACATAATACATATATACCAGTCTGCAGGGAATTTTTTAAGATATTGTTAGATAGTCAGTGACTGCTTTTATCTGGTCTTGTTCGGAGTAAAAGGCCCGTTCTTGCCTTCCTCTAGCAATCCACGGTTACCGCCCAGGGCCTGACCGCGCTTCATCAGTCACCAATCACATCTTAACTGTCCCCAATCGCCACCAAACTCTGACTATATTCAAGTTCTATCTGGTTGTTTTAAAGCATAGAATAAATCTTTGTGATTATATAATTCCAAGGGATGAAGTCAGATTCTTCTCTGCGTGATGGGTATTTAACATCATTTAATTGTCAATCGTCTGTATCGATATCTGCTGTTGTCTACTGATGCTTAACCACAACTAATGGTAACCTAAAATTTCTGGTTATTGTTTGCATTTCCACAGCGAAGGGGTTATCGCTGCGTCCTGAAGTTGGAGTTGGAGTCGCTTTGTAAATCAATTCTTGGTGTTAGCGCCAAATTTGAGGGAGATGGAGCAGAACAAATGTTAACTATGGTGCAACAAAAATGCCGCCGGTAGTTCGAATTCTGATGACTGCGGAGATTCCTGTAATTTGCTGGCGCAAAACTGATTTATCCTTTCACTTTATATGAAAACTTTTCGTTCTTCCTAGTTTCATTGCTTGATAAGGATTGCACGAGGTGTTTTCCCTTTGTGGGACTTGGAATCTAACAATAAAAAATAACACTATAAACTAACAGGGGGCCATAGGTGCTAACATTCTCCGATATCGGGGGGGGGGGGGGGGGGAGGAGGTATATTTGTGCGAGAGCCATAATAGGTCGCGAACCACTCATTTAGGCGATGGTCCAGGACTTTGCTCTGAGCGAAAATGCACAAAAATATTTTTTTAAGCTTCAACAGTGCCCAATTTCACAATCAAATCAAAGATTCAATTCGAAATGATTGATCATGTGCTGGTGCTCATCATTTAAAATAATTGAAACACAAATCCTAAAAACGTGATTGGCAAAACCCATTACAGTGACAAACACCAAGCATCGGGCACACTCTGTCTACACCCGATTTCATTCATGAGTCACTTCAAATACCACATTTTTGCTTTAATGACGGGGGATTACTACAAAAGATCCGTTTTTTCTCAGTAGCTTGGAGTCGTTTATGAGAGAGAGGAACAGGGAGATCGCATGTGGGAACAACAACTCTTCAAAGTTACGTGTTTTCATGTTCATTGACAAACCTTTTCTTACGATTAAAAAAATATAGATAAAATTGTGTTCTTTGACCCCGCAGAAATGCTTGTGACTCTTAGTGAATTGCGACCCATGAATTACCATAGTAACCCTCTGTCAGTAACATAAAAATACAGTCGGGGGCTCGTATTCCTTCTTTAAGTAAGCGTTATTCTGCATCAAAAGGATGAATTGTGAAATACCATCATTCCATGTCTCAGTGGAAGTTTACTTTCCGTTACGGATTTCCCTGATACCGGCGACTGTTCCATCAATCCGGAATCAATCAATCAATCATCATTTATTCGTCAACACAATCAATATAAATATATCACGGAAATATGGCAAGATATACAATAAGTGAAAAAAAGAACTTCATATGTGTGACAGGAGTCGCGAGGGACCACGAAAGGTCTTCGAGCAGCGACACCTACGATGCTGATTCAGCTTAATAAATAAATTTAGTTAACGCCTATGCTTCTAATCATTATTATTTACAAAACATAAAAAACATGACATCAAACAATTGAATAATATGTGTATATAACAAATTTGAAAAACATGAAATTATATTTACGGAAATTATAATTACAAAATTTTTTACGTAATTACGATTGTGCACTGCAAAAATAAAATTTGGTTAAGATGGAAAACAGTAAATTTTCGGCAAGTTAACCCAAACTTTAGTATTATAATGAAAAAATTGAGAAATTTTAAACAGGACTGTGTTTAAGTACCCTGTTTCCCCGAAAGTTAGACCTAGCCTGAAAATAAGACCTAGCAAGAATTTTAAAAATGATTTTAACATAAGCCCTCCGCTTGAAATAAGACCTAGTCAATAGCGCAATTTTTTGCTAGTTGATAGCAAGAAATTCCGCCCCACTTCGCTTCTAATAATACACGTTAATACGTGTTTATTTAATTTAATAAATACAAATTGCAGCCGTTTCGATGACTGTGATTTTTCGACTCTCCAACGCCATCGTCCGAGCATTAAATTTCTGTTTCTTATTTATTGTTTACCTTTTCCTAGAAATTGATAACGTAGACAGCTTTAGGCTATTTATTCTTTTATGTAGTTATATAACATTGTAACGTTATGTAACTGCTGATATATTTTTGAAAAATATTAAAAAAATTATTGAGAAAACCTAGAAGACCGCCGCATTGACTTATTGGCTGGGCCTATTCCATTGAATATACATTGGCAAACATTTACAATACGGAACAGCATCTGCAAAGTGCAACTATACTACCGGGTATACGGCTGTACGGTCAGACGGTTCGTCACGTCAAAACAATTGCAGCATCATAGAATAAAATTCAAGATGGCTCTCAGCATGGTAAGCTTATAAGTATAAGTTTATTTCGACTCCATAATCGACATATTAGGCCATAAAATACAGTAATTGATAAAAACGAAATAAATAAAACTGAATATAGAATCGGGAAAGCAAACAAAACCACAAGTAAGGTTAGAAACATAAGATTTTAGATGGAAGGTATTGATGAAGGAAGTAGTACGTGTTCGCTCACCCAAAAGTCTTAAAACTGATTACAGAATTAAGGCACGCACACAATCACCCAGATATGATAAGATCGGAAGCGAAAAAGCGAGACATAAAATCAATTACTCAGTAAAAAAGAAAAATATGCAGACCTATAATCTATAAATAAATAAAGCTTGAGAATTAGGGGTCGATAACATACTTCGTCTAAGTACAGAAGTGCCAACTGAACTTCAAGTTTGGCAATGTAACAATAAAATGGAAAACCTTTCCACAGTTTCAACACGGTCGGACGGTACTGTGTTAAGTGTATCAGGGTTCTGTTTGCTCTCCTGATTTCTTAATCAGTTTTTATTTGCTTTAGCAAATAACTTGTGCATTGTTGTCCACTTGATATCTTTGTATTAGGTTGAATTGGTCATTATTGCTGTATTAGCTCAAGTGTTTTAAAAGTGCAATGACCCCAGACTTTAATCCATTTTCGTATTTTTTTTGTGCAACCCTCACACAAGCCTCCTTTACATGAGGTCATGTTTTTTTTGTATGTTAGTGATATTTTGAGATTTTACACTCTCTCTCAAATTCTATATTTTTAATTTGTTAATTTTTTTTATATTCATAGGTTTTCAAAAAAAACTTTACTTGTATGCAGTGTATGACAGCATTTAAGATATTGTGCCTTGCGTCACAAAACGTAAACGCTATGTCTTCTTACTCTTTGCACCTTCAACTTTTCCAAAACCACAAAAAAAATTAGTGCCAGCCAACATGTATTTGTATAGTATCAACTCCGAAAAAAACTGAAAATTTAAATTAGAACTCAAATTGTTTTGCTGTCATGCTGTCGGGCAAAATAGCTGTATGATCATATAGGCCCAAGAGTTGGTAGTGGGGAGTAGTCTTGCTAGCCTAACAAATCTTTTATTTTATTATTTTATAGACTTCTTGTTCAATAAGAATGTTTCGTCATGGTGGAGTGCGATCAATGTCTACTCAGCTGTCAAAAATGTGAGTATGACTGGGTCGGCTGAGCATTAAGAATACGCGTGGCATCGCACCTCTGATCACAGGTAGACAAGAATCTGGAGCATCTAAAAAAAGCGTTCAAGCTTGATAAAATAGCTATGTGTGATACAGAAAAAAGCGTTTTTTTACATTTCTAAAGAGGGTTGCGACCTTTAACCTCAATTCGCTGTAGTGATAATAAATTTATTTTTAGTTTTTCATTATTTCTATACTACTTATCTACAAACACATAACGAACTAGCTAAACTGTACCAAAGTGAGGGTGTGACTCGCTCATAATACTACCAAAGGACCCATTTAAAATTTAATAAATAAAGCGGTTTTTTAACATAGTGAGGGAGGAATAAAGAGTTCCAAAATAGGCAAAACAAGGAATTCAATAAAAAACTTCTATTACTGTTTTGTTAAAAAAAAAAAAAATTAATGCTTTCAAATGCACTTTATTAATTTTGTTGAATCCTTATGCCAATCATGTATAGAATTATTAGTCATTAGTTAGCAAAAATTTTTCCTTTTTTTCTCTCTGGTTAACCTTGTTGACCTCACAGTTTTTTCCTCTATCGTATTTTACACCATATTTTACACATGAGTGGCAGTGAAAAATGTTAGTCATTATATTACACTGTCATATATGCACTTCATTTATAAATTCTATTTAGAATAAGACAACATCTTTCAAAGTGATTCTTTATTATTTAGAAACTCAGCATCAACAAATAATTTAACGGGTGAAAGAAGATTTTACCACAAAGGCTCAGATAATGCTGGCTATCAAAGGTGAGAGGTTCGCTTTGGTATAAATTGACATGAATATTTCCAATTCAGGATCCAATGGAGCGTTAAATGGCAGCATAACACAGCCTTGTTCAGATTCAGAATATTCTGGCCGGCCAAAAATTCTTAATTTTTAATGGCGACGTAATAATTGTACCAGAATAACGATTAAATATTTTTCCCTTCAGTTGCTCATCGAGGTGTGACTATTCAGAATGAACCCTAACATATCTAAGGGTGTCAATGCCGCAAAGTCATGCTTGAATAATTTGTTCAAGCATGAGGTCCAGGTTATACATCTGAGAGCTACGAAAAATTGCTATGCCTGATACAAAAAAAAGTTGTTTTTTTATTTCAAAAGGGGGGTTCCAACCCGCTAAACCCCCCTGGGTATGCCAACCCAAGTGATCATCACTGGTTACTTAACTTACAGTTGAGCCTTTTTTCTTTATTCTGAATGAGTGTGTGAGAACTCACCTTAAACAACTTTACTAAAAAAAAATTATCGCGGAAGCATGTAATTTAGACATTTTTAAGTTTATTGAATTTCAGCTTTAAATTCATCTGCTTGCGCACTTTCACCCCGTTTTCAAAGCTGGAGACGGGTAAACAGTGGTATCAGGCAGACAGGCAAATTTGTTCAACTATTTTTATCTTTATTGTTTAAACAAGTCTGTGAGTAAACTTGTGCTGATTGGTCGATGAATGAGGTGTTGTCACCTTTCCTCCAAAAATACTCTTAAATAGCTGATGTTCATGCTATTTTTGTGAAAACGGGGGTTTCCTGATTCAACATTTCCTGCCAAATTAAGAAGGGCTTCTACAGGGGCGTTTCCAGAAATTCCAAAAGGCGTGTTCTGAAATTTTTAATTTCCATGTAGTAACAACTAGTGCAGGGTGGTCCGAACCCAGGCCCTCGGGCCACATGTGGCCCGCTGCTTCATTATCTGTGGCCCGCGTCACATTCGGAGAGTAATCAAAAAATCGCATTTCGTTTGGTTTCGTCTTGAAATTAACAAAAAAATCTTTTGACGTATTGTCGACACTAATGTCACTGAATTAAATAGTGTTATGGCTAGCTGAGACAACTTGCGAAGTTAAATAATGTGCTTTTCAGTCTTAATTGTTATCTGGTTTTCTAACTTTTTGGTCGGGAATATATGCTTACTGTTATTATATTCAAATTGATTTGACAGTTCAATTTGTTTTGGACAATCTGGCCTCGTAGATGTCATTGCACTATTTTTGAAAGGTTTAATATTGCTCTCCACAATCACAATCACACCTTTGCGAATATAAACTTTTGCCGTGCAGTTTCTAAATTTACGTAGCTTATTTGTACAAAGGAGACTGTCTGGGACTTTTGTTTGCCTTGTTATTGAGGTTATTTGTGCTCTACACAGTATATTTTGTTGTTCTTGCCTGTGTAGTGTTTGCTTAGCACTTAACTATAGAATTACTCAGACTTGTGGTTTATGGGGAGTATCGTTTGATATTCTAGAACAGGGATGTCCAACCTGTGGCAGCGGGAAGGATTCGTACATCGCAATTGAAGTTTTTTATATAAACACGGACGTATAAACATATTTAACATAAAAATTTCTTGGTATGATATCAAATCTTACTGGACGACAATTTGACAAGCCAGTTACGTTGTGCGGTATCAAAACTACCCGTTGATATGAAACAGTTGAGCAATGAAAATTCAGAAGCAAGTTTCGCAACTAGTTGAAGAAAAAAATTGCTGACTTCATTTTTTTTTTTTCGATTTTTTATGCCAATGTATATTATTGCTTGAAAGTTGTGCATTTTGAATAAAAAATTTGAGTAGAATTTCACGGTTCATAGTCTTTGTGTTCATCTTGTGTTCAGAAATCCGCAAAAGCGCTGTGCGATCCAGTCGTTTGATTTAGCGATGCTCAAATTCTAACGTAAAACGAAACTGGGGTGGTATTTAAGTTTGGTAAGAACGTTTGCGGCCCGCAATGAATTTCCTCATGTGAAAGCGGCCCACGGCACTGAAAAGGTTGGACATGCCTGTCCAATTGTAGATTTTGTTATATATCCACATGGCTCTAAATCAAATATTCTTGAAATCAAATTTATTTGCCTTTTTTAAAGGGAAATTTAAATTCTGCTTATTCAGCTACTAATTTATTAATTTTGACCTCTGTATTTTTCTGCTATTGCCAATGAAGCGTTACCTAGGATGGACAGACAAACATTGTTATCTACCTTGGTAAACACATTCATCTATTTTGGGATTTTACTGTTTGAGTTTAATTGGTCAAAATTGTCACTGTCTGCAAATCCCTGCAAATTATCTCCAGCACAGCTTTAATGCTCATTGCAAAAATATTACAAATGAATTCCTGGCTGAGTGCTTACACCAGGCCGCATTCTCTGGAATGCAATGAGCCATTATTTTTAAACATAGTCAGGGGGTTGAGGTTCGGAACCCCCCTTTTGAAATGTAAAAAAAAAGCATTTTGCTATATCATACATGGCAATTTTCTGTGAAACAGTTTTTAGACAGTGAAGACTCTCGAAATTCCATGTTTTCCGTCATCCGGCCGGTCCTCATAGCTGTTACAGTCTAACGTAGCAATAAAAAATTTAGAACCCCCCTCCTGGCTATGCCTGTTTTGAAGGATTGAAATCATTCCAGTCCAGAGTTACTGACCCAATTCATAGTAACCGTGGGCATGGCGTATGAATTACCCCAGTTTATGACAATTGCTATAATCCAATCAAGGGGTTCTTGACCATGTTCAGTGGCCCGTTTTAAATGCCCTCAACCTTTCGCCTTTGCCTTTTTTTTATTAAAATAACTAGTTTTGTTATTAAGATTTTATGTCAATTTTATTTATTCGCTATGTTCCATCATTATAATCCAACAAATGAGAGGAAAGAGTTAATGCATTACAGTCAAAGCGCATTCATGAATTAATGTGTCACCAAGGATGGTATCTAGAACAAGCATTTGCTTGTAGTCTTTTGTGGCCCTGTAGGGTGTCAGGGGCCCAGATTGGGAATCTCGTGGTTCTGACTCTTCTGAGCTATTTTTGCACATCGAAGCAAATTTCCGTATTGCAACAATTCACAACAGTAGTATTAAATTAGCTAATTTCACATTTTAAAGTTTGAGAAAACCTTATTTTTGTAATATTCACATTCTAACAACCCTAGCCTAAAAATTGACATAAGGCGAAAACTAAATGCAAAAATTAAAACTAAAACAGGTACAGCATTGCAACTCAGACCAAAATATGTCCCTGGTCCTCAATGGCAGACGATCAAAAAATTTCATTTCCAAAAAACGTGACATAATATAATACTGTGATATTACTCTCATTCCTTTGACGCTTTTTCAAAGTTTAATTTTAAAATTATTTTCTCCTAACTCATTTTTCAGGTCTGTTCAGAATGGAGCTCTCCTGCTCACAGGAGCCATCATTGGTTCATATGGAATCTATAAATACAGTCAAGCAGGTGCAGAATCATCAATGCCCACTGTGCAAGCAAAGGCAGTCAAGGTACATTGTATTTAAAACTAAGTGTGCATATTACCGGTATGTATCGTTTTGGTATTATGTTGTTGTTGATCATCTTGTTGTCAATATTTCTTTCCTCTTGTAAATTGCTTTGAAATTTTCGTTTGATCGTTGAAAATTTTCGGCCTTGGGCAAGAACATATTCTTAGAAAAAATTATCTTTCTTTTCTGTTGGGAGGTTTTTCATTGTCTATAAAACGAAATGTGCTATGGTTCATTACTTATCGATTTTAATCGGTAAGTATGTTGATAGGTATTTGTCTGTATGTCTGTCTGTCTGTTAGATGCACGCGATATCTCATGAAAGCGAGATTGAATCTGCTCCAGATTTTGCATGTGCATTCATCATATCTCGGACCAAAAGCCTATTAATTTTGGGCGATAATTTGGGTGATTATGTCGTAAAATTAGCGAGTTATTAATTAATTAGTGATGGGACACAAGGTGTCACTATGGTGTAAGAGCGCTGTTTTGGGGATCCCCTAACTTTCGATCGATAAGTCTTCGGTTTCTGATCGATATTCTCGGAATCTTATCATCACCTTCCTTCCACTCCAAGACATAGCCTATATGAAAAAAATATTTTGTAAAAATTTTGGGTTCAACAAGACTGAAATTAGAAAAAAAAATATGGCCATGGCACTTAGAAGCGAATGTAGTAAAAAACGAGCTACTACTTTCTGCTATCATTAAGTTCGCTAAATTCTATTGTTTTTGAACTGTTGCATTTGAACATGCCATTCCACTAATTTTAAAACTACGGTATATTATTTTCACAGACCCGAGTGTACACAGCATCTGAAGTAGCCGATCACAAAACTCCAGACAAAGGCATCTGGGTTTCGTATAAAGATGGGGTTTATGATATTACGGATTTCGTAAAGATACACCCTGGAGGTAAAATTGGTTTTAGGCCTGGACATATTTAATTATTACTTATCGATTTTAATCGGTAAGTATGTTGATAGGTATTTGTCTGTATGTATGTCTGTTTGTCTGTTAGATGCACGCGATATCTCACGAAAGCGAGATTGAATCTGCTCCAGATTTTGCATGTGCATTCATCTTATTTCGTACCAGAAGCCTATTGATTTTGGATGAATTATGTAGAATAATTAGCGAGTTATCAATCAATTATTGATGTAGTGATCTAGATTTTTGTAAAGCGAGAGAATTTTGAGAACCGCCGAGCGTGTGTGTGCGATGCGCAGTGCGCAAGTTACAAGAGCGGATGAATCGAAACTGCAGTTTCTGTTTTGGGGGATCCCCTAACTATCGATCGATCCAAACTAAAACCAAATTTTGATGTTTTAGTTAAAAATAGCTCAAGGAAATTGTAGAGATTGCGATTAAATTTAGTTTGGGCGCGAGGCTTATTGTTTTCCACTGTTTCTTTTGTAACACTGTAAACATTGTTCATAAAATGTAACTCTTTACGTCATACTTACATGGCCCGCCAGTCTAGATGCCCACCCTGATCTAGAGCGTGAAAAGGTAAAAACATCAAGTAGTATACTATATCACGGAGGGCCATATTAAATCGTTACACGGGCTACTGCGATATGGAAACCACTGATTTAAGCAATAAAAGAGCCTTCATTGCATTCATGAAGATTCTAAGAACGAAAACACTGAATCACTGCTTCGTTTGGATTTTTAAATTCAAAATTCTATTTTTTTTGCAAACTGCTGTTGGGGAATCTCCCAGTCATGAATTGTCATGAGCAAGGTTTCAAAGATGAGGCATCCAAGATTATAAATCATTTATTTTTCAGGCAGTAAAATCATGTTGGGAGCAGGAGGAGCCATTGATCCATTTTGGAATCTTTACGCTGTTCATCAAACGTCAGAAGTTCTAGAGATGTTGGAGGAATATCGAATCGGAGATTTGAGTAAGAGAGACCAGGTGAGTAGTTGTGGTTTTTATGATTAGGTTCGGTAATGTGGTGCATCATGCTAAACGTTGGGAATTTCTCGCCACCGCTCCTCTGATTACCGTGGGTTAACAGGTTTGAATCCCATGCAGGGATGATTATGTGCAAGAAGATTGCTGGACTCCTCGCCGCCGCAGGGTGGTTCACGTAACCACTGGCCGGTTACGGCTTCCATCACCATAAAATCCATGCTTCTGAAAACAACCAGACAAGATGCCGTGGTTCGCCATATGCTTATGCCGTCTTATCGGGTTTTTCTCTCCCCCAGGATAAATAGGTAGATTCTATCCTCCACATATTATTGGACTCTGTGTATTTACCTAGTTCTGAGACTGGCCAATTTATTTAACCCTGTTCGGGGCAGCGACATTTTCGAATTCTGTGGTGTGTAATTATGTGTAAGAATATCGCTGGACTGCTCGCCGCTGTTGGGTGGTTCACATAATCGATGGTCGGTTACGACATCCTCCACCATCATGTCCATGCTTCTGAAACAAATAAATGTCTTTCTAATCCCATAGCCGTCATGAACAGGTAACCGGACGAAAGGTTGTGGTTATCCATATGATAAGCTGTCCTTTTCCTCTGGACAAATATGCAAACTCCTCTGCAATTTCGATATCTTGTCATGCAAAAGTATGTATTTGTATTAATGTCTAACTTCTCTATTCAGAAGAGTCACAAGAATGCCAACGATCCGTTTGGAAACGAACCTTATCGCTTTCCAGTCTTTCGAGTCAACTCTGCGAAACCCTTCAATGCAGAACCACCACTAGAGATCCTCACAGATTCTTTTATCACCCCCAATGAAATGTTTTACGTCAGGAATCATCTCCCTGTTCCAGAAGTTGACCCAGAGACTTTCAGGTAAGAATAATTAATCTCAAATTTTTTTTGTCTTTTCTATTCCTATTCCACTTTCGTTGTACAAAAATTCTGTGGCACATCAACTTTCTCTCGCAAGAGAAAAACTACAAAAAAAACAAAAATTCTTCTCCGAAAAGTCGACACTGCCATTTTTTTTAATTAAAATGAAAATTACCACTAGAGTTTCTATAAACAGCATCATTCATTGCTACATCAATCAAACTTTACCAATTTATCAATAACTCTCGCAAACGGTGGATTCTGACAACAATTACAGCTAACGAGCGGGTCTTCGACCAGAAAACATGGGTTTTCAAAAGTCTTAAGGGTGTAACGAGAATATCGGTCAGAGACCGAAGACTTATCGATCGAAAGTTAGGGGATCCCCAAAAACAGCCCTTTTACTTCATAGTGACAACTTGTGTCCCATCACTAATTAATTAATAACTCGCTAATTATACGACATAATTCATCCAAAATCAATAGGCTTTTGGTACGACATATGATGAATGCACATGCAAAATCTGGAGCAGATTCAATCTCGCTTTCGTGAGATATCGCGTGCATCCAACAGACAGACAGACAGACAGACAGACAGACAAATACCTATCAACATACTTACCGATTAAAATCGATAAGTAATAATGATTTCAATCTACGAAAAATTGCTATGTATGGATACAGAAAAATGCTTTTTTTACACCTCTAAAGGGGGGATTCCGACCCGTTCCGAATCTGACCCAAACCTTCATCCCGGGGGAGAAGGAAGCCGGTAAGACAGCTTAATCATATGGTGAACCGCAGCCTCTCGTCCGGTTACCAGTCCATGTCAGGTATGGTATTAGTTAGCCAGTTATTTGTTGATGCATGGACTTAAGAGTGATGTCTTTCCTCTTTCTCTGTCACAATATATATTAAAACCTCTATGCTACAATATTTTCCTCATTTTTCAAGGCTTGAAATTGTAATCGGCCCAAAATCAATCAAATACTCATTGGAAGATCTCAAGAAATTTCAGTGGTCGACTGTGACAACAACAATCCAATGTGCCGGCAACAGGAGAGAAGAAATGTCAAATTATAAACCTGTCAAAGGTCTGAGTTGGGGTGCAAGCGCAATCGGTACTGCTAAATGGACTGGTCCCAGGTAAGTTGAGTTATGAATTTTGGAAATTGAAGAAAATTTCCAAATTTCGAATAATTATTGAGACCAGTTTGACTCCTGACTTTGCGACAGGTGCGCAGCGCAGTCCAGAATTCTTGAAACTGAGGTTTTTGAAATTTTTAATCAACTGTAGCACCTGGTGTCTTTTTCTGGAAGCATGAAAGCATGGTTTTTTATTTTAAAGCGTTCCAAAAAGCGTTTCAAGCTTCAAAAAATTGATATTTTTGATGTTTTTTTTTTTTATATTTTGATGCTTTTTTATATTTTAAAAGGGGAGACTCTCAAACCTCATTCCCAAAATACCCAAACAGTGTATATCAGATATAGAATGTGAGCATAGGAACTTCTAGAGTCAGTTCCATGATGACCTTTTGACCCCGAGATTTGCAATATATTAAAATAAGTCAAACTTTGACTGACACCGAGTAACTTTTAACCGAGGAGTTTGCGAATGATAACAATGGTGACCCCAAGTCTATGTGAGTCCCATTTAGGATATAAGAGCAATCTTGACGACATCACGCCCAAAGTATGCAGTTGTTGTGATAAGTTTTGGAGGGGAACCACAATGCTGATTTTACTTTTCACTTCACAAGAAAACTCCCCGTTTTTCTTAGTTTCATTGCTTGACAAGGTTATTTCACAGGGTATTTTCACTTTGTTGAACATGAATTGTTTGAACATAATGAAATATGGAATCAATAATCAAAATAACACTTTAAATACCATGAAATGATAAACAGGGGGCCATGAGTGAGGGCCATGGGCCTCCAGAGAGGGGTCTGACGACCCATAAATGTTGGGAACCACTGGTGCAAAGAGTTTGTTTCTGAACATCCCAGAGTGTAATTGCACATTTCATACTGGTTGAATATTATTTAATTTTTGCAGGCTCCGTGACTTACTGATGACATCTGGGCTCAACCCTAACCATCCTTCATTGAAGCATATCCAATTTGATGGACTTGATTGTGACATCACAAACTCATGTTACGGTGCTTCGATTCCTGCAAAAAATGCTCTCAACCATGACAATGATGTCATCGTAGCAGTCAAAATGAACGGCAAAGATATCCCAAGGTAAAGCATGTTTTGTATATCAGGAAAAATATTTTAGTTCATCGGAGATTATCAAATTTTTTGCTTCGTAAAGTAGCATCCAGTTGTCAGAACTAAACAAACCATCCAGAAATATTATTTTTTGGCCAGCAAATTTTCTATAACTGATGTGTTAACACGTTATTTGCAAAATTTATTTCTTGATGGGTCAGTAGTCGACAACACCTAATTCAGTAAAAAGGGAGTTTGTCTAAAATATCGGGCGCTCCAGAAGTATGTGCACCAAGATGACGCGCAACCTTATAACCCAAACCTGGTACACGTTCTATGTTCAGGTTTTGCTCCATCTCGGTGCACATACTTCGGGAGTACCAAATATCCTGGCACAACATATCACAGATTTCGGGTTTAAATCCCATACATGCCCCACCTAACCCAAGATGTCATAGATTGGGTGGGCGTTGCGGATTCAGTTGAATTTTAAGAGTGCATGGTTCTCGTTACCATTATTACAACCTTATAGCTTCTTCTTTTCATTATGGGATAAATAGGATACTCTGTAATCCAATGATTAGTACAACTTTTTATATTTATTACATAAAAATTCACAATTTATTAATTTTTGTAACCATTCAGGGATCATGGTTACCCAGTAAGAATCATTGTACCTGGAGTAGTGGGTGCTCGCAATGTGAAGTGGGCACATCGAATTGTAGCGAGTGATGAAGAAAGCGACTCACATTGGCAACAGAAAGATTACAAACATTTCAATCCATCAACTACATATGAAACGGCTGATTACAGTAAAGTTCAGTCAATACAGGTGAGTAAGATGTAAAGTAGAAAAGTTACTTTAAGTTCCCTCAGATAACTCGAAATCTGACTCAAGATTAAGGAAAATTCCCACTCCATCTCATATTTAAATAAGATTAAAATCACAAACCATCAACTGAGAGTAGAAAGAGTACTGATAGAGGAGTTTCACTGATGCACTGAAACCAATTTTATAAATGCGAACTTGCCTGAAGTAAAGTCCCAAGCCCCGGTAAAAGAACTGTCAGAAGATTTGCTGAGTGCGCCGCAAAAATTAACAGAATTGAATTAACAGAACAGAATATATGATTGAATATTTTACATATTGTATTTATTATAAATGTTTTATTGTTTTGGTTTTAAATGCTGTTTATATTAATCAATAAATCCATCTTACCTTTCTATGTCTGTTACCTAGTGTCTGTCCAGTGGCCTATCTAGATAACATTATGCCCATGGCAAAGTTTAGAAATGCCCCCCCCTTGATAGTTGGTTGAAAAGGACTGTCATTGATACTCGTGCCTTACCATTTGAGTGAAAATACGAGTTTCGGTTACTTCCAATTTGAAAATATTTTATATAAACATTTTATGATTGGAACTTTTGTTGATTTTTCGCCCCTGTTCAAACAGCGCCCATGGCTGCCACACCCTAGATTCATCACTGGTATGCAAACAGTGAAAAGCGTTTTAGCAGGGTTTTTGGACGGTTTTTTACTGTTTTTAAGCGTTTTAGCAGGGTTATTGGTGTTTTTAGACGGTTTTTCACTGTTTTTCTGCAATGTTTACAAACTTCATAAACCATAAGATACAAAATTGAGTTTTATTTAAAGGCAGCAATTTTTTTTTTGTGTAAGTGCGGCGCGAGTTTTTTTCTGATAATTCGGTGCCACACGAACAAAAAGTTTGGGAACCTCTGCCTCACATGTTAATGTCTGCTTCTACAGAGCCTTGAAGCTTCGTTAAAAGTGAAAACATGCGAAAATATATTAAAAATCATCATTCTTATTTTAATTCAGGAGTTACCAGTGACTTCAGCTATAACCTGGCCGCAGACCAATTCCAAGGTGGAACCTTCTGAAGACAACATGGTAGAGGTGCAAGGATACGCATGGAGTGGTGGAGGAAGAGATATCATTAGAGTTGACGTCACTTCCGATGGTGGAAAGACTTGGAAGGTATGAGATTTTGTTCCACAGGTTATGGAGGTTTTGGTGCTCCAGAAGTATGCACATCAAGATGTCACACAACCTGAATTCTAACCGGTACACACATACTATCGCCATCTTGGTGCGCATACTTCTGGACGTCCTTCTTTCAACTTGTGGTTTTATTAGTGCTTCAATTTAGACTCCTGACTCATATAAACACTAGCTCTCAGTCTGGGTCATACCCTCTGGGCTGCGGGCCTGCGCCAGTATGGACGTATATTAATGGATTTTGCCTCAATCCTCCACCTCGAATACAACACAAAAGTCCTTAGTGACAAATAATATTAAATGTAAACAACAACAGACTCTTAATAAGACATCTTAACAAGGAATGGTTAGAAATAGCATTACGCGCTCGAAAAGCGTGACGGGAAAAAAAGTTACAAGCATGAGCGAGTTGATTAGAGTGTTACATGTAATAATGTAGGGGAAACACATATAAACTGGCACTGATGTTCTGTATCAAACATAGCAATTTTTCGTAGCTTTATAGGACTTCTGGACCCGCTGGGTGTTACTAACTTGGCACTTTCTGGCTACGGCCCTGATCTGGGTGGAGAATTCTGACTTTTTTGCAAGTTTTACACGTCTTCCACCTTAAAAGGCTATTTCCTAGCGCTACTGATATGGGACAACGGTATAACTGTTTACATATTGTTAAATATCATTGGCTTTGCTTGGGAATTATCTGGAGTGGAAGATTCAGAAAAGCATTTCGTTATAGGATTTCAAAATTTTTCGAAGACAAATTTTCTCTTTTCTAAAAAAATCAAAGGTAGAATCGAAGTGGGATCCCATAAAATATCTCGTATAGAAAAGATTTTGGAATAATTGATTCATCGGCAATCAACCATCAACAAAAAATTTTAGAGTAGCGTATTTCAACAAGGGTTCTAGGTTGCAATTCAGGGCTACTGCAAGTTTACATTCAAATGCGATATATTTATATATATATGCAAATATTTATATATTAAAATTTTTCAAACAACTCAATCTTTCTCTTCTTTTATAGGAAGCTGATCTCATGAAGAATCCCGAGAAAGATGATTCATCTCAAACCTGGCCTTGGACTTTGTGGAAAGTAGAAATGCCGGTGAAGATCGGACAGAAAGTACAGTTCGCTTGCAAGGTTGCAATTTCATTATTTTTTATAAAAGAAAATTACACTTAGGGCAAGTTCTCAAGATCTCACCAAAGACCAACCGCCCTTTACAGCTGATTACTATTTGAAATATTGAAAAACTGAGCATAAAAAATAATCACATGACAGAAAGCACAGGTTGATATTGTATGGTTTGGATCTTTTTGTTATCATACCAGTGCACATTCACTCATTACTAGATCATATTGAGATTGTTTTATTATCAATGTTCTAATGTATTTCATTTCATTAATTCGTGACTTGGTGGGTCATCGAAAATAGGGGGGCCATGTGTTACATTATTAGCAGAGCTTCTCAACCTTTGTTCACTTGTTGGATAAGCAATCGGAATCGAAAAGATTACCAATCTCGAAATCAGGGGATGGTTTTGGAGGTTGGAAACCCCCCCTTGAAGGTAAAAAAAATAAACGCATCTTCCTGTATCACACATAGCATTTTTTCATAGCTTGAAACGCTATTTAGACCCTCAAGACTCGTGAAAAACACTCGTTTTCCGGCGTTCCTTCGAACCCGCTAGCATTTTCAATCTAACTTGGCAAGTAGAAATATCAGAACCCCTGCTATCAGTCTATGTCGGGTACGGTAAGGGATTAGTTAGCCAGTTATTCACGGTATTCCAGATGCATGACTGTGCGGATTTGGTATGATGTTGACGTTCAAAATGCGTTAACGCTAAATACGAATTGAAAATAATTAGACTTACCATCGTGGTACGCCTTTGTAAATTTCTGACTACGCCACTGCCTAAAATGGAGAAGCTATCTACATATCATTGGCCGCCTGTAGTCTTGTGTAGAGTAAAAGGCGAATGAAAAAGGTTGTATATAAAACTAAACCTCTTCCTAACTTTTCACAGGCTGTAGATTCTTCATACAATCAGCAGCCAGAAACGATCAAGCCGATCTGGAATCTAAGAGGATTTTTAAGGTGAGTGTATGTGTGAATGTGCTAGGGGTTTTCTAAGTCCCAGAGTATTCGTTATGTCCTTTTCATGATTCTTTTTTCTCTCAATGGTGCTGTGGTCTTGATGTATATGTCTATAGTAGTATTCAGTGGTTTATTTTTCACCGTACAGGAAATACAAGTACATATACATCAGTAAAAATCATAAGTTATGCATAAATAAAAAAACTGCCGCCGCAGGGTGGTTCACGCATCCCTGGTCAGTTGCGGCTTCGCTTCCTCCACCATTAAGTCCATGCATCTTAAACAAATAACTGGCTAACTAATCCCATACCCGACATGGACTGGTAACCGGACGAGAGGCTGTGGTTTGCCATATGATTAAGCGGTCTTATTGCGTTTAATTGGAAATAAGTCTATTGAAGCCTTCTTGATAAGAGTGGTTAGCTGGTCTATTAGGTCGCTACATGAACACGGTGTCCATGAAAAGTTTTAAAATTGCAAAGGGAATTTATGGATACCATATATTGTTTAGTCTTCACAGATGTATTAGATGAAGTAAAAATATTTAAACAATTACTGATTAAAAACAACAAACCTGGTTAAGATGTATTGAGAACTGACTTCCTAACAAAATTGAAATTGTGAAAGGACTGTATGGACACCATGTATAAAAGCCACGAAAAGCCAATACTTGTTATTGAGCGGTATCGCCTGTGATTAGGCCAAACAGTGACGAATATAGTATTAGAAAAAGAATCGAACAACATATGTCCGAAAAAAGTACATATCGGCGACCTGGTATGCCCAAAAGTGGGTCGTATCACCAAAAATAAACGATTCAACTTTTTTTTATTTCACAGCAATGCCTGGCATCGAATAGCAGTGGACATTGTGGAAGAAGTCGACTGAATTGTTCTGTGTAATTCGATAATTTGCTTTTTTGCCAAAAAAATTTTGATTTTATCCCCAATTATGGATATATTATGGATTACACACATTTTTTTATTTTTTTTTCATTTTGCTCTGAACAAAGCAAACAAGCAATTACTGATGGTTTGGTGTTCTGTTATATTTTTTGAATCTTTGAAAACTTTTTTTTTTTTTGCATAGCGTACTCGATTTATTACACCCTGGGGTGTTGGGCTACTTGATTGTTTATAAAATTAAAAAAAAAAATTCTATAAAAAAGTTAGCTTGAAAAGTTTGGGGTTCAGATCTGCTCTCCCCTTCTTCTATGCTTTAGCACTTGCTTGTGTATAATGCAAGAATGCTGTACTGTAGAAGAGTGAAATGAAAGGAGTGAGTGAAAAAAAGGACTATTTTGAGTCTTGCTGCACTAACATGAATATATTTCTGTATTTTGACAGAACCAAATACTTATCCTAGTTCTATATTTTTGCGCGGTGGATTCTTAAGCAAATAATGCAAGGATGCTGTAGCAAAATTAAAGATGTCTATCTCATGTGATAGATGAACTATGTGTGTGGGTAAAGTGATTCAAAGAGTCATGCTCCATTAACATGAATATATTACTGTATTTCAACGGGACTGATTGCTCATCCTTCTTCTATGCTTTCGCGCTGTTGGTCTGTGTGTGTATAATGCGTAGCAAGAGTACCGATGACCATCCTAAGTGATTCAAGAGTCTTGCTAGTGTTGCTACACACTAACACAAATGGATTTCTATGTATTGTGTATATGTATTTCTACTGACATGAATACTAGTCACGAATATAAACTATCTACGTAAGCACTTTTGTTTAGATAAGTATGGCTGGGTGACCGTACATTTGAACCCATGTGTATATCCACGGGTTGAATCTATATGCGGGTGCTAAAACCCATGGGTTAGGGTTAGTATGGGTTTAACTATCTGTGAAACACAAAAAATTCCATAGGTGCAATAGCATACAGGTGCAATTGCCATGGGTTCAAATGTAATGGAACCCTAACCACGAATATAAACTATCTACGTAAGCACTTTTGTTTAGATAAGTATGGCTATTCACCAGGTGCTCGAACGGTTTAGCAATAAAGCCGTCTCATCGACTTTCCTCCCCCTAACCCAGTGGTGCTTAATCTTTTTGATAGATTTGTTCCTTTGCCTAATCTGTATCCTTCTTGGTATTTATGAAAATTATGTTTCCATTTGTTTTTCAATATTTAATGTATCATAGGTGCAGCTTCTTTTTGAATTTTTTGTACAGGTCATGTGTATATTCAATGCATACCGTAAGCATGTCTTACAATATTAGTAAAACAACGTCGAATACAAAGACCTCCTCTCAAAAAAAAACGGAAAATAATTCCCTGGGTAGTTCCCCCTGTTTGGAAAAACGATTTTTACGCAAGCCCAGTTTTAATCATTTTTGAAACTCTTTACTCAACCATCGCCAAATGAATCTTGTTTTATGCAAATATGAGCTGGTACGTGGCAGTCCGTTTTCGGTCTTGTTTCCGTGTTTTAGTAGCACCGTCGTGATTTTGTTCATTAGTTCCATATTGCAATCATGCACTTGCTTTTTATGCACGTTTCAAACTTTACCAAGATTTTGGTGTTTTTTGTTTCAAAATATATAAATAATAGGATCTAGTTTTCTTGACTATTGATTAAAGTGCAGGTTGCAGGGCTGTGGAAAATTTTTAATCGGATCCCAACTCCGGTTTAAGGGGACTCCAACTACAGCTCTCAAGAAAATCAATTTGTGTGTGCAAGCCTTTATTATTAGACTTCCTAAGAACATTAGTATAAAGCAGTGTTTCCCAACCCGAGTCCGCGGTCTCAAATGAGTCCGTGGAGCGTTTAAATGAGTCCGCAACAAACCAGAAATTCGCTGCGCCGCAAATGTTTTTGCGAAACTTAACCATCAGCCAAGTTACGATTTACGTTAGAATTTATATGAAACATAAAAAGCAAGTTTATTCACATACCAATCAATCATCATTTATTCGTCAACACAATCAATATAAATATATCACGGAAATATGGCAAGATATATAATAAGCAAAAAAAAGAACTTCATATGTGTGACAGGAGTCGCGAGGGACCACGAAAGGTCTTCGAGCAGCGACACCTACGATGCTGATTCAGCTTAATAAATAAATTTAGTTAACGCCTATGCTTCTAATCATTATTATTTACAAAACATAAAAAACATGACATCAAACAATTGAATAATATGTGTATATAACAAATTTGAAAAACATGAAAACCACCAAATAGCTATTACAAACTTCTTTATCTATATATATGAAGGAGAAAAAATCCAAATTCAAAGAGAAACCAATCATAATAAAAGTAGATGAAACTCTAATAAATGTACAATTAGGTTTTTAGACCGTGTACATAACATTGAGGTGTATATAACACCTCAATGGTACATAACGGCATAATCGTTGCCAACCAAGCACCAATTTTGAAAAATAAGGACTCCGTGCACCTCTGAATCGCTCGAGCTGGGATCAGCGTTGTCAAGAATAACAAGCCAAGGTCACATGCTGTCGTGAGTCAGATGTTAAGAAACGGCAGCAGATTAGAATTGGTCATTAAATTTTCAGATGATCAACTTCCAGAATCGAGTCAATAATTACTGGAAACTGAGTAGGGCTAGGCATATATTCGAATATTCAACTATTAGAATGGCAATTTACTATTCGAAAATATGGTAGCAGGTGGCGCGACAGGTCACTTGCTCGTCGCTTAATCAAACGATTGGATTTCACAACTCACTTGCGGATTTCCGACGAAAACACGAGTCGGCACACGCGTAGATAGATACCTAAGTGAATAAATTTTTTTCTGGTAGGTGTCAATGGTGGTAACCTAAATATTCTACATTGGAAAGCGGCAATACAAAATACTAAAAATAAAACGGAAAACACCATAAGTTTTGCTTTATGATGGTCCGCGACCGATTAAAAACGGGTTTTAGAGATTGCAAACGCAAAATTCGGGTGCTACCGTAGTATATATATATACGTATCAGGGCATTTTCCCTTAGGATTCTTTGCTTTACTGCCTCTACATTGGTACGTACAGTACTGGAGCCCCGTAAGTGTTGTACGAACAGCTCAAATTTGTCGAATTCACAAAAATACGAATCAAAACAAAATATAATCGGACATTTTACTACGCATTTTGTGTCCACGGGTTGTCATGATATTTTATAAGTAGTATTGCTTTTATTTCGTCAACACAACCGCAGATTAAAACGATCTCAATTAAATTAATAATTAGAAAGGCGATTAATATATTTTTTTTGATTTACTAATATACTTCATTTATATTTTTAATAAGTGCTAAATCAAGTTGTACTTTCTGGAAATTTATAGCAGATGGTAGGATTTTTCTAACGGCGATAACAAATTCGCAAGATCGCCAAAAATATGTATCAAACTAAATGTAATTGGGCAATATATTTTCACATTATTATGTTCACAGATTGCCGTGGAATTTTAAAGATGTTATGCTTCCATCTTGTCATAAGTCGACGCATCCGCGAGTGACCATGAACACAATTAAATTAAAATAGAAAGACATTTTGAATTCTCGTAGTTGTCAGAGATTGAATATTGTGCGACAGAAAAGCCATTTATACACTAACAAACGAGTAATTGCGGCGAATTTCCGATTTGGAAATTCGTTAATATTCTGTTGTGTTTGGTGTCATTACTTCTTCACACAGAGTACGGTTGTAATAAACGCACGTTTAGTCCGCAAAGGTTTTCGCCGGTGAGAAAATAGTCCGCGACCAAAAAAGGTTGGGAAACGCTGGTATAAAGTAATGCATTTGATTCTAAGTCGGAGGTTTCGGCTTTTTTCATCACCATTAAAAGTACGCAATTCAGACTCGGGGAATTCTGAATTTTGACTCATGCGCTGGTTCGAACAACGATGGTATTCAAGATATTGGAGTAGAAAGGCTCGGCTTTGTGGCGCGTCGTGCTATTCGTTCCGCCTGCCATAGCACCACCGATTACTTTGCGTGGGTTCGAATCCCATAGATTGGTTCACGTAAACGCTGGTCGGTTACGGCTTCATCCACCATCAAGATCATTCACATGGTGACAAAATACCTGCCTCACTAATCCCATGTCTGACTGTCAACCGGACTGGATGCAGCGCTCCGTCTTACCGGCTTTTCGCTCCTCTGAGATAAATATTTAAATCCTCTCTTAAAAATAAACACGGAGTCTACGGTGATCAAACCGCGGCACTGAATAGTGAGAATACACATCCTGAAAAGACCGTGACAATTTGGAAGCTGTAGATTTTCTCCTACTCGAGTTAGGATTGAAATGTTCGGGAATTAAATTATTGTGTGCAGGCTATGATTCACATATTTATACCAGGGGAGAGGAAAGCCGATAATACGCTCCATCATATGGTGAACCACGGCCTCTCGTTCTGTTAACAGTTCATGCCGGGTGTGGAATATGTTAGCTAGCCAGTTATCTTTTTTTAGATGCATAGACTCTAGATTCCGCCAGCACTTTGAAAGGCTGTCAAGCAAGGATAGCCTCACCAGCAGTTTTTTGTAATGAGGAGCCTCCGGGATTTCCTTCGTCCTTGTCACTATGAATAGCACCACACAGTGCACATTAGTGGACACAGAAATTTAAATAAAATAAGTTTATTCGTTGAATGGATAAATTAAACACAGTGCTGAATTGAGAGATACCACCGCATATACGGATAGCTCATGTCGTCAAGTGAACAGTCTACTTTAAAGTAAAATACACAAAAAGATATCTTGAATCGCCGTATTGAGATTGACATCCGAAAGCTATGCTATTTATTGGGCGTTTAAACACAGCGTTAGGGGCAAACGGTCACACATATGTGAGGTTTAGTATTTTTAGCGAGGCCAGGCCTTCTTGTTCGTCATTGACTATGTAATTTCGACTTCCTACTCCGGGTTTGAGTAAAAATTCGACTCTCGTGCCGAATACATCTTGATTTCACACTTCCGTGCATACAAGTCTTTTTAATGAAGTGTCAAAAACGGTTAGTAAACTAAATGCATTTCGAGTTTCTGTACGAAAATGCTATCTTTTTATCACCATTCGAAATTGGAAAATCCGACTCCGGAAAATTCAAAACCACTATTGCCCAATCTAATAACTCCGTGTGACAGAATTTGAGCAAGTTTATTTTTGTATACAGGTGGTTTGGGTATTAGCTGATTTCTCATTTAGGACTTTTAGGTGATAATTCAGTTGTTGATTTTTAATTTAAATTTTGAGACGTCATTCAATCAAGGTAATGATGACGTCATCGTCTCTTCGTTGCCATAGCATCTCTCCGTCAAAATCAACCAGGTTTCGCTTGCGTGCTCGAATCAATATCCCGACCAGATTGCTTGATATCTTTGTGTATCTGTAAGGATTGGAAAAGTAAATAAAGCTGAAAAGCACAAAGTATGAAAAGGCGACTAAATTTATATTTAAACTCTTACATTTGGGGCAATTAGCATTTCTCAATTTTTACCTTGGAAGGCAGATTTTTCGTTTATGGGCGCGGTGGCTTAATGAAACCTTTCCCAGTCGGGGTGGAATTTTATTATAAACACCCTATAAACTGTTCGGCACTCCTGAAGTATTCGTACCAAGATGACGCACAACCTGAATAACCCTAACTTGATACACATACTATGTTCAGGCTGTGCGCCATCTTGGTACGAATACTTCGGGAGCACCAACTGTTCAATATGTACAAAACAGTGCGATTGCGCATAATATTAGCTACAGATCATTGAACAAATAACGGAGAGTTTTATGTACTGTTGCCAGTGAATTCGATACTAAAGACAAGCCGTTCCAAAAATGTTTATTCTCACCGCAAATGTTTCACCACAAATACCGTGTTTCCCCGAAAATAAGACTGGGTCTTTTTTCAATTTTCGAAAAATAAAACTAGGGGTTATTTTCGGGGGATGTCTTTTATTTTCATTTATCAAAAACAAAGTAGAGAATTACGAGATTTTCAAATATATAAAATATGATAACCAATATTCATTCACGTATAAATAGCAAAATAACACGTGTTTGTTCAAAATAACCGTGAAACATAGATTATCAATCATTTAAAAAGTGTAGGCGAGATTTCTTGCTATCGACTAGATATAAAAAAAATTCGCACTATTTACTGGGTCTTATTTTAAGGGGAGGGCTTATATTTAAAATATATATATTTTTAAAATTCAGGCTAGGTCTTTTTTTTTGAAAACACGGTAATATCGTTATGCTACGACCCTAGTTATATTTGGCGTTTGAAAAGTTACGCAATATGTAAAACATGTTATCCCACTCTGGTTTGACTCATGTTTCATCACGAATATATAAGCCACACCTACCTTTGAAACAACGGTCCAAACGTAACATATCTAATCCCAGATCTGGCATCGGTATCTGCCATTGACCTCATGACGCTGATCAGCATGTCCAGTTCTTTGTCGATGTATTTATTCGCCTTCTCACGGCGAACTGCGGTTGTTCCGACAGGCTGTGCGTAACCTGGGTCGCCTTTGGTCCATTTCGGTCGATTTTCAGCTGAGAAAGAAAAGCAGAATTTCAGTTACATAGAATTTACTGTCTTGTGACGGATTTCCTGTCGTGAACTCTTTTTCGGATACTTCCGAAGTATGTGAACCAAGATGGCGGACACCGGAACGTAGTATGTGTACCAGGTTAGGCCAGAGTTTTATTCCAATTTTCCCTATTTTAGTTCTATTACGAGTTCGTGGACTAGCCAAGTGACTCCCTTAGTATTTGTACCTAAATTTATGGCCTAACCCTAACATACTACGTTCCGGGGTCCGCCATCTTGGTTTACATACTCCTGGAGCATCTTTTTAGTGTAGTTTCAATCTGTATTCACTGGCACCTAATGCCCTACCACCTATATAGCCTATGAGGTTTCAGTAGCTCTTGCCATTTCAGTGAGTGCCTGTAACTTTGCTCAGAGATGAGTCTTCTTCATTTCTGAGTGAATGCCCATAACTTTGCTCAGAGATGAGTCTCATTTACTTCTGAGTGAGTGCCCATAACTTGCTCAGAGATGATTCTCCTTTACTTCTGAGTGAGTGCCCGTAACTTTGCTCAGAGATGAGTCTCCTTTACTTCTGAGTGAGTGCCCGTAACTTTGCTCAGAGATGAGTCTCCTTTACTTCTGAGTGAGTGGCCGTAACTTTGCTCAGAGATGAGTCTCCTTTACTTCTGAGTGAGTGGCCGTAACTTTGCTCAGAGATGAGTCTCCTTTACTGCTGAGTGAGTGGCCGTAACTTTGCTCAGAGATGAGTCTCCTTTACTTCAGAGTGAGTGCTCATAACTTTGCTCAGAGATGAGTCGTAATGCCAGACTTATCATATATATAAAACAGAAAACCGGAACGGTGCGAATTGGGCAAACCTCGGTTCGTTTCCCAGGCTTCGTGATATTTGAATCATTGGCAAACGAGCTTTTTCTTTTCCTCATTTCGAATAAATACCTAGCTAACGTTAGATGTTAAATTAACGTATTAAACATAATAATTATGACATAACATTATAGGTTACTCCTGAAGTATGCGCACCAAGATATCTCACAACCTGAACCCTAACCCGGTAAACAGTCTGAGTTCAGGTTGTGCGCCATCTTGGTGCGCATACTTCAGGAAGTCCCAATATAGTAATTCTCACTGAATTAGTGAGTGCCTCCATTAACAAAAAATAATATTGTATCGTTATTAAATACAATATCTATGGCTGCCATACTGCTTGACCGGGACATCTAAGTCTACCGAGCGAGACGACGAGACAGTTTGTCGAACTGACCCGGCTAAACAGGGACGTATGGTAAGCCTGCGTGATGCACCATCATAAATCTATTTAATTTCAGTAGCTCTTGAAATTTCACCGGTCGATGATAACTTTGCTTAGAGATGAGTCTCCCTCAATTATGAGCGAGTGACATTGTTTGATCAGATTCTCTTGAAAAACTTACCTTCGTATCTTCCTGAAAATGGATTAACTTTCTGTTTCTCGACGAAATCATTCGTGTGCTCGTTCCATTTTTGAGACAGTGACGTCACAGTACTAGTTTGTACATCTGCTTGTGACTTCATTATCAGCATGTTAAATAGCAGAAGACCGAATCGTCGTCACTTTTCCCGTGCACGTTTTAATTTAAGTCACCAAATTATTCAGTGTAATATTAGTTTTTTAGCTTAACGGAGCGTAGTAGTTCTGTAAAAATACCGGGATATTAAAAAGTGCGATTGCAAGACGAAAGCCCATATATGATGACGTCATTCAATCAAGATAATGATGACGTCATCGTCCGAGTATTCCGATCCCCAGTACGAAATGTTTTAATAGAAGATTTTCTCGCTTGTCAATAGTCTCTATTTTATGTGCGTAGTGTAAAGAAGATTTTAAAACAAAAAAGCCTATGCCTTGTTCTCGTTAAAAACCTGAAACACTTTATATAATTTGTGTCTTATTTGAAGTACACCGGCCCAAACAAAAGAGGCAAAGTAAATACAAACTTACTGATCATGGTTACACACACATACAGCCTTACCCCAGTTCACTGTCTATACGGCAACCCAAATATTCCTCATGGCCTATGGTGAAAAAAATAAAATTACTTCTGGTACTGTATCGTTTTTGACGTTACGTGACTGAATAAATTACGGGTTATGTTGTGCGCAGCGCTTGTTCATGAATAGGAATGATAATTAAAATCAATCCAATGCTAGATGACGCACTTTTTACGTTGGAATTTTAGAATCAAAGGTGTTGTTCTGCCTTGATTTTACTCTACTCTCGATACCGCACTCGCTAACGTAACCGGTTGAACTAAAATAATTCATTGCGCGACGATGTCCTAATACAGAAAATTGACGTCATAATACAAATGTGACATAATAATACCCTTCGAAAAATATGTCCAATTGAAACATAGCGTGATATATCACCCGCACCACGTTAAGGCTATCAACAACAAAGTTTAATACGGCAATTGAAGAAAAAATGATATTTTATTTATATTGGTCTCTCTTATAACTTTTTTTCTCTAACAGAATTTTCGATTGATTTTAGGGCCCTGTTTTCGTTTTATTTTTAAAATAATATTGGAATCTCTGAAACGGTGCTTTTTCCCGTTCATCGAACACAATGAAATGAAAAGTTATCGTTTTGTCATGCAAGGCTCATATGTATCAGGGGTATCGCAAGAGCGAGGCCTATGGCGGTAGGGGGTCGGAGTTTGACATGTTTTATTTCAGAGTATAAATCATATTTTTGAAGTTGAAATTATGAATTCCCAGAAATCGGAATTTCAGACTTCAGTCAATGATCAGAAAAAGCAAAATTTTGAATTAAAACACCCTCGACACGTTTTAAAATAAAATATTAGTAAATATCCAGTTCGGGTTAGCGCGAGGAATGATTTGAAAATTTAAATTTCTAGCGCAATATGCATTACTAACCCTAATTAAGATATAAAAGTTTTTACAGGTGCGATGGCAAGTGCGTTCTCGAGGTTTAACACAATGTGCCAACTATTATGCTCAATATGTAAGTGTAATTCAAAATAAGCGAATAAAACCTGGAAACCTAAAACTAACAAGACACTCTCGCCCAGTGTATCTCAACTGAAGATCATTGAACTATTTCACTATATGTTCTAAAACTATCATCCATCCACTCGCTTTGACAAAACTTTCTAACTGATGCTAAGACATCCACACCCATGGATTAATAAGACTAATTATTCGCATATTTCTTATGACGACATAGTAGGTGTTGAAATGCTCTATTACGAAACAATACAACTCATTATGAAATCGTATTCGCGCTTCAATGTCCTTCATTCGACCTTCAAAGGTTTTACCGCTTGTCATCAAGTTCATTTACACCTCAATGACCTTCGCATTATATTTCTCACTTTTTCAACAATATAAAGGCTTGCCTAGAAAATAAATGTCTTGCATAACTATGCCTCATTCAAAGTGTAATAAAATTTGTAATTCGAATATTCAGTGCAATCTACATTCCTGACCCAAACTCAGTAACTTGATAATTACTAATTTTCTTATTTTAAGCGTTGTCGGAGTTGTTTTATGTCGGGGACTTTGTACAAAAGATTTCAAAGTTGTTAGAAGAGTGGTCGCCAACCTTATTCCTTGCATTTTTACTTTTGCCTGTTTTGAAATTTTCCATTACCTCTACAGGTTACAGGTATGTATAATACTCTTTTTATTTTTCGGCAAAAATAAGTAAATTACTCTCCGGTTAGGACATCATGCCAAAACGTGAGGATTCTTGTCTTTTCGCAAAATGGCAACTCTTTACTTGAGAGTAAGTCTATGAATAACGACCCACGCTTATTAAAACACAATAATTAAGCATCGTTTTATCTATGGCCGACGATAACGCTCAGTTTAAACACATCGGTCGTTCTTGCTTACTCACTTATCAGGCAGAAAAGGACGAATTTACCTGACTTCATGATTGCTTAAATTAACCTGAGCTTTCCCCAAGCGAATTAAGAACTGGCCGCCATCTTGAAGGTTTTCGAATGAATGTTTTTTTGTTCGGATTGGGAGGCCAGTATGTTCCCCAGCTTTTCAATTTAGGTTGGGGGGGGGGGGGGGTGCTTCACAATCTAGGGGGTGGTAGCTATTTTGCTGTTAGCGAATTATTTGTAACGTATAATAATGTATTATGCATTTGACTGACAACACTAACTATACAACACTTTCTGGATATTCAAATAGAATTATATTAAAGTTAAGAAGTGTAGTGTCACATCTTAAAATTTGGGAAAGTGTTTGAAATTTTTGGGGTTAGGAATTCACTGCAAAACACTATATCAAGTCCATGCATCTAAAACTAATACTTGCTTAACCATTCCCATAACCCAACTTGTAGCGGCAACCAGACGATAGGCCCCGGGTCACCTTGTGATTAAGTCGTCCTATCCTTCCCGGAATAAATACAAAATCTAAATCTTTCTATCTTAATATAATACGATGCCTCAACTAAAATCGCTTGTTCTCATTACTACTTAAATTGCTGTCACCGCGCGCATACCAGTCATATCACAAAGCGTTCGCGGACTCATTAACACTGTCAAAAATAGTCCTTAAAATTTACCAAAATTTTCTGAATGGAATGATCACAGCGGCCTAAGTTTAAAGGTGTTATACTTATGTTTTTTATGTTGCCGTCCCAGTTAATTAATGATCCCACTCCCACCGCTACATTCAGAGTGTAATAGAATTGTTATCTATGCCAAAGAAGGAGTATTTCTGGATCTTTTGTACAAAGGCCACTCATGCAAAAATATATTGTTTTAGAAAGACGCCCCAGCCAAGTTTTAAAATAACAAACCGGTAATTATCCAATTAAGGGTAGAAATGATTCAAAAATTTGAATTTACAGCGCAATCTGCAATCCTAGAAAAATAGTAACTACTTATTAATTAAAAAGTACGGAGAGTGAATCCGAGCATACGCGCCATATGCAAAGATTTTGGATCTCTTAACGTGTTTGGAAGTTATCGGATGAACTATTGTTGTGGTTGACCGCGATGAATTTTGGTCGTATCGCCATCTTCTAGTTCATAACGAAACAATTGCGTTGTGCATTATTTGTTATTGAGTGCGCTACTGCAATTAGAGTTGGCGAAAATGTAAATTCTCACTGTATATGTGAAAGATGGTTCCATTACATTTGAACTCACGTACATTTGAACCCATGACAATTGCATCTGTATGCTATTGCACCTATGGTATTTTTTTTGTTTTTCGGATAGTTGAACCCATACTAACCCTAACCCATGGGTTTTAGCACCCGCATATAGATTAAACCCGTGGATATACACATGGGTTCAAATGTACGTGGGTTCAAATGTACGGTCACCGTGAAAGATGCATATATATGTGTGTCTACTTTGAAGCACAGGTGCCTCTACGCGCATCGGCGTAGCCAGGAATTTTCAAAGGGTGGTTCTGAAATTTCTAATTGCCAAGTCGGACCGTATCAGCTAATGGCTCCGGCCGGTGGTCGGAAAAAGTGGATTTTCAAGAGTCTTTAGTGTCTAAAAACGTTTCAAGCTACGAAAAATTGCTTTGTATGTTACAGAAAAATTCTTTTTTTTTGCATTTCAAAGGGGTTACGCTACGCCTCAGCCTGTGCGACATGTGAAGCAGTTTTTGTGAAAAACAAAATGTATCAAGAAGATTGCTAACCGCCGACAATCGCACCCACGTAAAATTACAAGCAAACCATCCAAAATTCAAGAAAATAATAGTAAATTACTCAGCTAAGCAAATCAAAACAATACATTTGCAAACTGTCGTCTACAATCTTGCAATCGCGTGTGACGTAATAATCATGAGCAACAGCTGCTCGTTCCATCGACGACAGAACAGTTCGAATAATTTATCGTAGGGCCGAACATGAACATGCAAACAACTTGACTGAAATCGAATAAGAACTACGCAACGAATAATTACAAAGCACTAGACTAACATACGTGACTAAAAGTCAGGAGGGTTGCCAAAACTTCAATCGGTTTTTAAAAGATGCCGACACGAGGGGTATTAGAATAGGATCTTTTATACAAAGTCACGCATTCCGGTACATACTGGGAGGCAACGATACGACCTTCAAGGGTCATCAGAGTCAGTTGCCAATTCAATCAAATAATCATAAAAATAACAGGTTTGGCGTCAATAAATCAGTATCTCTCATGTTTATTTACTATATACAATATTTACATGCCTTCACTATTTTCACTTATGAAAGCGTTTTTTTGGTGCTCCCGAAGTAGGCGAACCAAGATGGCGGACATCGGAACGTAACATGGGTAACAGGTTAGGGTTAGGCGATAATTTTTTTCCAATTTTCCTTATTTTAGTCCTATTATCAGTTCGAAGACTAGCTAAGAGCCTCCCGTAGTATTTATACCTGAAATTATGGCCTAACCCTAACCTAGTACACATATTCCATTCCGATGTCCGCCATCTTGGTACGCATACTTCGGGAGCCCCTTTTTTTTAAATAACGGAATTTTTCACCTATTGATAGGATAGGATAGGATTTACATATTTATCCCGGGGAAGAGGAAAGCCGATAAGACGGCTTATCCATATGGCGAACCACGGCCTCTCGTCCGGTTACCATTCCAAGTCGGGTATGGGATTAGATTTTACTGTATTGTTTGTTTTCGGAAGCATGGACTTGGTGGTGGAGGAAGCCGTAACCGACCAGCGGTTACGTGAACCACCCAACGACGGCGAGGACCAGCAATCCTCTCGCACATAACCATCCCTGCATGAGATTCGAACCTGCGGACCCACGCAGAGTAGTTAGAGGTGCGGTGGCGAGCGTATTCCTAACGCTTAGCCCGTTGAGCCACACCGCCGTGAAATTGTATTGCTGAAAAATAAAATTGATCGGGACGAAATAGGTGGGAGCGCTGGACAAGATACCAAAGGTTGTAAAGGTACACGTTAGCAACACTTTGCAATATCGTGCTTATTCAATCTCTCAATCACTTCACATTCCGATTCTGTACTTCACATCTCAAGGGTTTGAAGACTATGCATGCTGATTGCAATGAAGTTTGTGTCGCCCGGCTAGCTCAGTCGGTAGAGCGTTGGACTCTTAATCCAACGGTCGTGGGTTCGAGCCCCACGTTGGGCGGTCTTGCATTTTAACCAAATCTACATGTTTAAAATACGCTGCACATTCCCCATATTTAAGATATCCCTCAGGCGCCCGCATCTTCATTCATAATCTTAACAGTAAAAGGGCTCTTTCTATCGGCGATTCCTATGACACTCTCATGCCTAACGGCAAACTGCGGCCGAGCACCCCCTTTTTGAAATATATATACTCAAAATTTCTATGTTATCATATGTATATTTATCCCGGGGGAGAGGAAATGCGATAAGGCGGTTCAATCACCCAAAGTTTTAATTCAAGGGAATACTTTTTATAGGGCCTGACTGGACTGATACCGATGAGCGATCTTCGTTTCTAACAAACATATTTGAGCAGTGTTCTTTTTTTTTTTTTTATGCGCTTACGAGTGTACTTAGTTTTTTGTAAATAATTTTAATATAGTTTACCCTTCCTAACTCTCAAATTTATATTTGTGTGGAAAATTTTAAAATAAACTTCATCGTCTCACAAATGAGCCTTCATCGTCGTTTCATGTTTTTCTTTTAATTATATTTATTTTGCCTGTTCATTGTTTATAATATTATTGTATACTACTTACGTATTCTTGTTTATCATTAATTAGGTTTGTTGTTTTATTTTAATTTTTGACTCATTTTAAATCTTGGTGTCGCAGACTCTTGATGACTATCCAAGGTACTTCGCAACTTCTTGTCAATTGCGACAAAATCCGGTACTGTATGTGTGTTATAATTCGTGTTTTGAATTTGTGTTGTGATTTCTTGCACGATGAAATAAACTTATTGTATATTGTCTATTATCCTATCTGGAATAACAAGCCGAGTAGAGGACGGAAGCGCGAAAGCTTAGTAAAAACACGCTTGGAGCGGAGTAAATTCGGGCCCCGTTGAAGAACACTGACAGAAATTCAACAAAAGCACCGACTGTTGTGTCCCTGACACTGACTAATAAACCATACAAGAATCCAACTTGGTAAAAACATCAGTTTTATGAAAACAAACAATAACACGGCATAAATTAGGGTAACTCTGCTCGGCCTTAAAATATTCATGCGAATTAAAACAAACATTTGCTCAGTTTAACATTTTCTTAGAGGGAACACTGATCCCAGAGTATACGTGGAGTCTAGATAGGCTCTGCACTCTCATCCTCAGCCCTGGGATGATACTCGATCGCCTTCCAAGTTTCTCATCGGTTCCACGCAAAATTTTACAGGCTTATTTTAAGAGTGGTTTCGCGAGTTGGCGCCTGTAAAATGGGGTATTCGTTTCAAACCATCATTATGATTCATCGCATAACATACAACTCTGTTTTTAAAAAGTATCTGTAAAGAATTTTAGCCTTGTCTATCACAGCTATTTCTGCACTAATTTTTGATTACCGCATTTAAATTGAAACTCCTAAGAAGACAAAATGATTATTTCATCTGATTTATATTCACATTTCCGAAACACAACTGAAAACTAACGAATAGAGTTCAAAAACGCGAAAACGAGGTAGTGTTCACGACCACGCCTGAAAATCTGTCTGAGTGAAAAAAAGTGTCTGAGCGGATGCGAAGAGGGGCGGCATTTTTACGTCATTTTTTGCATGGTGCTTATTGGCAAATGTCACGAAGTAAACAGGGAAGTCGTTGCTTGGCGAAAGGTCCATTGATTGAAAAATCCGGTTTATCGCTTACCGCTTTCTTCGTTGACTCGGACACCTCTTTCAAGAACAATTTCTTATTTGCTTATACGTGCGAAGATCAACATTTCGTGATTTTCGTCTCGTCGTTCACTCATTGGGTTGAGGGGGTTCTGCTTCATGGTTGTATATTTCACAGTTTCAGGAAGTACCGGTACAGTAGTAAAATAGAGAATCGTGAGACATGAGATTCTTTTGTAAACGGTAAACAATTCAGGTTTTTGTCGAGTTTAAGTTGTGTATATAGAGTCGTACGGTACGTCTGTGCATACGGTAGCCGCTGACAGACCTATATCAGTACCGGTACCGGGTTTCCCCGGAAATTAGACTGGGTCTTACTTTCTTTTGTAAATTTTTTTTACAAAAAATAACAGTAGAGCTTATTATTCAAAAACAAAATTACAAAGTCTGACAGTAGAGAATTATGAGTTTTTCGAATAACTTTTATACAAAATATGAAACGAATATCCATTTACTTGTAAAAAACATTTTTTATTTCCATGCTTTTTCATTTCCGCGATATCGGCCAGGTGTTAATATTAATGGAAGGCTTATATTAAAATCATTTTTTGAAAGTCAGGCTAGGGTAAAATTTTTTCAGACTTGATCTTATTTTTGGGGAAACACGAGTCTATGTACAGTGTACAGAAAAGAGACTATGGTCATGTTACCGTACAGTGTTAGCTCTTGAATTTTGAATAAGTTGCCGTCTGCAACGTTAAGATGTCTGGTAATGGTATCAAACTGTCTATAAACTAGTAATTGTCGAGGACCAGGACTAATCTCAAACAATAAATCAAGCCCAATCATTCCTATATACAGATATACGGCAAGTTTGTGTGGTCTAGCGAAGTAAACGCTGAAACTATTTAAATTACGCCAAACGAAAGTGTCATGTGAAATATTCACGAAATTAAAAAAAAAAGTCTTGTCTGGTGTGAAATGAAATTCTTGACAGATGCGTTTAGCAAAGTCACTCAATTTTCCACTAAGCACGTAATGCCAATAGGTATTATTAGCTTTCTTCACAAGTATTTAAAAAAAAAAATGAAATTTTGGCTATACTTTGACATTTTACTTTTGTTTGGCGTTATTTAAGCACTTACAAAGTGTACTTCGCTAGGGCTAGATCTAGTTTGTGTGTGTCACATACATTAGTGTATATATGTGAGCCGAGACGCATGTTTTTCTATGTGCCACACGTCTTATCCCAATCATCAGTGTGTTTGTTGTTATGTTTAACCTTAGAAATCAAATAGACTCAATCAAATATTACATAACTTTTATGTAAATTTCTTTAAAGGTAATAACATAAATTAGGGTAATAATGGCTGAAAAAATGGCCAACAGTATTGGTCGTGAATTACGTTATTTTGAATATAAACTTCGTAAAAAGCAACAAACGTCTAAAAAGAAGAAAAATAAACATGATGGAGGTCCTGGGGGACAACTAGCATGGTCTGATGCACCAACATCGGAAGATTTTAAATTCACTCCCAAAAGTGAGGAATTGCAGAAAGCAATGCCTGGGAGTAAGGGAGAGGAAGAACTACAAATACAGGTTAGATTATGATTTAGTGTACGAACATTGACATTTTGGTACTCCTGGTTTGGCACCATGCTAGGGTTAGGCCGAAATTTCAGGTACAAATACTACGGGAGTCACTTGGCTAGTCCCCGAAGTCGTAATAGAACTAAAATAAGGAAAATTGGAAAAAAATCATGGCCTAACCCTAATCTGGTACACATTTTACGTTCCAGTGTCCGCCATCTTTGTTCGCATTCTACAGGAGGACTGACTTTTTTATTTTTATTTTATGCGACTGGTATTGGGCATGTCTCAGAATACATATCTATGTCCAGAAATGTCCAAAACGGAGTTACTATATATCGAATTCACACTATATTCTCTTCATTTTTGACTGTTCTTTACTTTGTATGGTGAATATTTCATGTCGTGGGTTATGAGCAACATTTTGTAATATATTATTGTTTGCTTCAGGGATAATTGTGTGTAAGAGTATTATGTATTGTGGCGAAACTACTGTTTTGCTTTCCATAAGTTCCAGTAGACAGTTGTCCATGCAATGAGTCTCTATAATTGGGACATTGGCTTTCCCTCTTATGAGAAGAATATACCAAATCTCTTTTTTTATTTGCTATTCCAAGCCATTGCTACACTAACAGTTTTTATGAATAAACTTTCTATTCCACGTAGATTACCTTTGCAGTGAGTGTCTATGATTCAACTGTCCCATTGGTTTCCTTCTGCTGTGGAAAAAAAATAGGGAAAACCTCATTTTTCATTTGCTATTTCAAATTTCCCATTCAACAATTTTTATGAATATTAGGTCGCCCTTGCAATGAGTCGTGAGGAAGAGCAAGAGAGAGCCAGACGATCAGAAAGTGACAAAGTACGTCTAGAGATGGCTTTGAAGGAAAGTGTCGTGGATTCTAAACCAAAGCCGCAGCCTAGCTTATTGGATATGTCATTATCCGCTCCGAAACCAGTAGCTTCGACAAATTTAGGGGCTGGAAATCCATTTGGTGGAGCTTCAAATGATCCGTGGGGTGTCGCACCTGTCCCAGTAGCTGCAGCCTCTGCTCCTACTTTTGACCCATTCGCACCGGAACCAACCGCTGAACCGATATATGCTGTTTCCGCTAAATCTGCTTCTGCTCAAAATGATGCATGGGGAATCCCCCAAACTACTGCCGCACCTCCTCCCCAAGACCCATGGGGCGGTACTCAAACTGCTTTCACTCCCCAACCAGCTTTCACTCCTCAACCAGCTTTCACTCCGCAATCAGCCCCAACTACCACTTTTTCTACCCCCCCGGCAACTGATGCATGGGGAACCCCCATACCAGCAACTAGCTTATTCGACAGCCAACCTTCGACTCAAAACACATTCCAAACTTCTTCGAATCCTTTTCCAGCACAGAACGCGTTTCCGACAACACAAGATGCTTTTTCGCCGAGTTCAACAACTCAAAACGCTTTCTCTACTCAAAACGGAGCATGGGGAAATCCTGATCCATTTTTGGGCAACCAACCGGCTAAAATAGATCCTTTTGCTGAGCTTTCCACTCCGAAGTCGATCCAGACCCAGCCAGATGCGTTTACCATGACTTCCCCAGCAAGCACATTCACAGCACCGCCGTTCGATCCTCTAAAAGAGTTTGATTCTCTCCACATCGGAACCAGGAATATCGAACCTGCCCCAGTAATTTTACAACATGACTACGGTAACGGAAATTCAGTTTCAAAGGATTTATTTCCACTAGGTGGAGTTTTGGAACCAGTGTCTATCACACCAACACAGCAAAATGGATTTACATCGACACCTCTATCGGCAGCAGCGCCACCTAAGAAAGAAACGGACGTTTTTCTCGGAGCTAACTCGAGTCTTGTCAATCTAGACTCCGGGTGGAAGACCTACCAAGTTCCGTATTGTACGAAACCACTGGGTACCGTAACCCAGAATCCGTTCCAGCAAACGGGGCCGACAAGATCGCTCAACGAAATGAAGCTCAACCAGGGTTTTTAAAGTAAAGTATTGTGCGTTATTAATTATATTAATTAAGAATGTTATTAATCAGGGAGTTATTTAGAACGGGGATAAATTTTTATAATTGATTGTAGCTCTTTTTCATTAATATTTTGTGCTATTATTTTAGAAATTGTGTCTTAGTAGAATGTAAATTCAGATATTTTCCTATCAGTGTTGTCTTGAATTGTTTTCAAGTCTGGTTTCACAAACAGTATGTACCGACTGATTTGTCACATGATTAATCTGATATAGGGGTTGTTTGCTGTGGTTTGTGTTATATCAGTACTAGTTAGGGCTTTGGATCATGATTTAAGCAAGCTATATCTATAAATTATACCTGTCATGACTAATTTTCTTTCCATAAAATTTAAATAGAGAGAAGGGAACTTGTTTGCGCTGGTTTTCGCAGACAATGCCCAGTTTCTGTTCTATTTTTGTGTTAACATTTATCGTTGCTAGCAAAAGAATACTTTAGTTCTATGCTCATGGGATAAAATATGGACAACAGTGCCATTTGCGTCTCATTTTCACATGCTTACTCCAAACTGGATGCCAGACAAGGGGTCACTGATTTTTAAGGAATTAATAGTTTTCGTAAGAATCATGGCAGGTATTGTTAGAAATTATAGATTGGGTGATATATATGGACCTTTCCCCGACCTTTGACCCCCAGAAAATTTCTTCCTATACTTAACCATGTCAAAAATTTGAAGCTTATTTTAAGAGTGGTTTTTTGAGTTGGCGTCTGTAAAATGGGGCATATGTTTCAAACCATTATTATGATTCATCGCATACAACAATATGTTTTTTAAAACTACCGGTAAAGAATTTCAGCCTAGTCCATCACAGCTATTTCTACACTAAATTTTTATTACTGCGATCAAATTAAAACTCCTAGGAAGACAGAGTGATCATTGAGTTATCTGATATATATTCAAATTTCCGAAACAAAATTGAAAAGTAACGAATAGAGTTCAAAAACGCGAAAACGAGGTAATGTTTACGACCACGTCTGAGAATCTATCTGTCTGAGTGAGAAAAGTGTCTGAGCGGGTGCGAAAAGGGAGCATTGTTACGTCACTTTTTGCATCTTCCTGATTGGCCAATGTGAACAAGGAAGTCGATGCTCGGGGAAAGGTCCATTCCCATTTCCCTAATAAATATTCGACAGCTTTTGTTGGTAAAGCTTTTGCTGGTTGTAAAATGCATTGTTCAAAACCAAGTGTGAGAATGTTTAATAGAGAAATATAGTGCTAGGTTTTTGTTCACGCTGTTAGTTGAACTCAAACAGTTCGAGTCTAGGAGAGACAGACCGCAGGTCATCTGGAACATATTCTAGAAAAAACATAACTTTTGTGCCAAGCGTCCTAGAAATCTGAAGCTTTTGGGTACAATCATACAAAACAGAAGTTCAAGTGTAAAATAAATTTTCGGGGCTCCCGAAGTATGCGAACCAAGATGGCGGACATCGGAATGTAATATGTGTACTTGGTTAGGGTTAGGCCATAATTTTAGCTATAAATACTACGGGAGGCTCTTGGCTAGTCTTCGAACTGATAATAGGACTAAAATTGGGAAAAAATTATCGCCTAACCCTAACCTGTTACCCATGTTACGTTCCGATGTCCGCCATCTTGGTTCGCATACTTCGGGAGCGCCAAATTTTCTTTGTTTTCGGAGAAGTAATTAATAAATTTATGGGCTTTTTTTTTTAGTTTGTCCTGTAGTTTTTGGGAGCTTATATTCTAAGCTGTGATAATTAGAATATTAATAATTGGCTTTTCTTATTTAATTTTTGTACTATTATAGGTTATGCTGGGTGAAATGTAGCTTTTTTATTAATACATAAAGTCAGATTTTCATATCTTTATTGTCAATATCGGTAGGATTAAATTGTAACCAGGATAAGTAGAATAAATAAATGGTTTTTGGAATGATTGCACAATTCATGGGTTTCAAACTGCGCAGCAGGATCTTTACGGGTTGAAATATCAGTAAAATTTTTCTTAACTAACAGTTGGTGTTACGTGAAACTAACTACCGGTACCTTTCTTTGCTCTCTGTCTTTGCGCAGGTGGATCCGTATGCGTAAAACGCAAGGATGCTAAAGCAAGAGTTAAAATGACTATTCTATTTAATTCAAGAGTCTTACTGCACATTTACACAAATATATTTCTGTAAGTGTGCAGCAAGACTCTTGAATTAAATTAAACTTTTCTTTATTACGGTTCTACCAGTACTTTTACCATTTTTGTTTGACGGTCGGGGAATCACTTTTAACGGACTTGCAACTAGGGCTGGCATTTTCGAAACACTGGTGTTTCGAAATCGAAACGAAATTTTGCCTTCGAAACGAAATCGAAACGAAACACACGTTTGTCATAAACAGTAAAATATGATACCATTATTACCCATCGAATTTAATGTATAATGACACATGTTTTCTAGAATTAAATTCACAAAAAGGAAGCACTATATGCTAATTCGAGATAATGATAATTCCACGAAGGTTTCTGCCTAATGACATAGATGCGGCAAAATGGCACCAGGATAATACGAATTACGTCATTGTTAGAGATGGGGCTCACAAGCAGCATAGCATGGGGCCTCTCAACGTCTCAATGCGGCCCTGCCCTCATCTAATGTAATAAGTGGGCTCATTTTCTACTTCGTCCAATGCCACAAATCTTTGTGATCCAGTGTGGTAATTATACCAGGGAGAGCCATAACCGAATACCTGACTATTTCAAATACATCAGTGTTTCGAAACGCCTAGCCCTACTTGCAACTCTTCCATCAGAACCCCTTTCCACTTATAGTTGAGGGCCCGGGATCTTACTTTCAGTTAACTTGTAGCATAATGATAGCTCATGTTGCATGAGAGGTCACTTGTAAATGTTCTACCAGTACTTTTACCGTATTCATTTGGGGCATCATGTTGAGAAAGTGTAGCAAGAATACCACGTGTAGCAAGAATACCACATATTTAGTTCTTTGCGCACCAGTAGGAGCTTGCAACTCTTCTATCAGCACTCATCCTCAATTTAATTGAGAAATCGGGATCTTGTATTGAGTCTTGTACAAAAAGTAGGTTCCTAGGATATTGAACTAATGTCTGAATGTTTCCTTAGAGTGGCTTTTCTAACAATATTGTGTTGTTTCTTTTAAATTTTCAAATTTTGTGAATGTGTTTGTGTCATTGTTTTAAAAATATCAAATTTCAATTGTTTTTTTTTTGGTGAAAAATTGAATTTTTTGCACTTTTGACTTTGTATATATTATGTCTATGACAATCAATAAAGCGCTGTACCATTTGAGCATTTATTTTTATCCTAGTCGCGCTCGGTTGAGCGTGAATTGTGAAATTTTTGGTTTATCATTATATTGGTAGTATATGCTATATTCTGTATCAACAAAAGGGACAGTCTTGTAACCACAGCTGTGAATTCAAAGACTGGGTTGTACTTTTGACCTTCAAATGGTGAATATAGCAAAGATTTTTTGAAGACTCATAATAAAGTCTGCTTGGCATTTTTAACAGTTTATCAAAAAAGTCTCACATACACAAATGTTTGTTTTGTTAAAAAAATTTTTTAACTTACAGTCTCAAGATGGGGTCGATTGTAAGTTTTTCCCTCCTCCATAGGGGGTTTGAGAGTCCGAACATTCCTATTTGAAAAGTGAAAAAAAGCATTTTTCTGTATCATACACAGCAATTTTTCAAAGCCTGAAACGCTTTTTAGACTCGCACGCCTCTTGGAAAGCCACGTTTTCCTGCTGGACATGCTAGCTGTTGCGGTCTAAATTGGCAATTAGATATTTCAGAACCGTCCCCTTTAAAAATTTCTGGCCTCGCCCCTGTCCATAACCCTTTATGTATAACTAGTGAGTAAATGCTATCGAAGATATTCTCATTTGGGTCATTTCCAACTGGTAAATAAATACCTGAAATTCAATTCAATAAACTATTTTAGACTGTTTTATAATATGAAATGTGAAATTTTCAAATGGAATTGATCAAAATTTTTCCTTAAAATTATATAATTTACCATGTATTCGAATCCTTTTGAACATTTCTGGAATTATTGAGAGTTTATTTTTACTTGGTTTAATATCCGATCTTAATTATTTATTAATTAATTATATGAAATGTAATAATAATTAATCCTGTGTCGAGCAATAAAATGTAAAATATCTGCTTTATAAAAAGACTTTTTGATGGCGTATTGTGATTCGGGGGCCTAAGGGCTGTCACAAAAAGAATTAGATTTTTGACGCAAATTGGTAATATGGGGTTTGCATTATTTATATTATTTAAGTTCGGGAGTCGGTCAATAGGCCTAGTGTTCTCTGGTGCGCTGCAGCAATTTAAGTGATCAGTTTTTTAAATATGAGTTTGAGCAAAATCGAATCCCGATTTAATATAGGGCGTTGTCTGCTAATTAGTCCTTCGTAGGTGTCATTCCTAGATGTTTACCTTGTAGATGTTTTTTGATCAAATTGCCTTAAACTGCTCAGAGTCATGCATCAGTTGGCATTCAATGCAATAATCCTTTAAAGTCTAACTCTCAGCTTCCAAGTGAGCGCTCGAATTTTCTTGAAAACATGAAAAAAATTTTAGCAAACTTTTACTTTTGACCCATTTATAACAACCAAATACTACATGGGGAATCCCGCGAACTACTGCCACACCTCCTCCCCAAGACCCATGGTTCCCATGGTTACAGCTTTCACTTCCCAACCAGCGTCGAAACCATCTTTTCTACCCCCCAGTCTACTGATGCATGGGAAAAACCCAAACCAGCTACTTCACTGGCTTTGTGGCGAATAACCCCCAAATCAAACTAAGGTGTGTCTCAACGGGCTAAGCGTTAGGAATACGCTCGCCACCGCACCTCTAATTACTCTGCGTGGGTTCGCAGGTTCGAATCCCATTCAGGGATGGTTATGTGCGAGAGGATTGCTGGACTCCTCGCCGTCGTTGGGTGGTTCACGTAACCGCTGGTCGGTTACGGCTTCCTCCACCACCAAGTCCATGCTTCCGAAAACAAACAAAATAACTAATCCCATACCCGACTTGGAATGGTAACAGGACGAGAGGCCGTGGTTCGCCATATGGATAAGCCGTCTTATCGGCTTTCCTCTCCCCCGGGATAAATATGTAAATCCTATCCTATCCTTATCCAGATGCAATAAATTGGGCTCTAGTCTGACTTGGATTGAATATTAATCAGGACAAGATTATGATTTTAATTTTTTTTTGTTGGAATTATCTGCCTGGAATCATCTCCCTCACTGCTGTCAATGTGGGGAAGACTGACCAATTTGATCCATGTGCTCTCGTGAAGCAACAGCCTTCTAAAAATCTTCATTTGGTGAGTTTCAATTCTTTTCATAAAGTGTACATTTTAGAAATATAACTGTATAAAAAGTTTTTTCTATGATGAATTTTTTAAAAGTGTATATTTTGGAAATATTGGATGTTTTTTTCTTTGATAAATTTTCTTTCC